GTCGCGTGGTCAGCGCAACGAATCACCATGGCCGTTAATTTTGGTTTTCTAGACCGGAGCCGCTACTTTCCCAATCAAGTATCTCTTCAATTATTCTCACGAGGCAGAGTGGGCCCCGTTCCAATGTCATTACTTCTCAGAAAGTCTGGTAGCGCCGGGAATCGAACCCGGACCTCTCGCTTTTATCTAGGAACTTTGAGCACAGCTCCACATAAGCGGTTCCGACTGTGTACAGTATTATGAAACTAAATATGTTGCCAGGTCGCAACGAAACCATGTAGTCACTGATGAATGAATGAATATATAGTCGTATATTAATTCATATAGGGTATAGAACTCATTTGAAAGAGGAAAGCATGTTACCGTCGATACAGTCCAAAAAATCTATGCTTACTTAGATGTAGGTAAGTGAAAATCTAAAAGGGCAAATTATAAGTGCTTCAGAGATATTTTTTTCCATCAAAACCTCACTGCGGCAAATGTATGAATGAATGAATGAATGTATAACGAGTGGACCTTCTCGGCTCTTGCACCGCGACCTACAGTGTTCTATTGTGCTTCCACATTTGATTATCCCCTGAGCAATCCAACGCTTCGGATTAATTTTTTACTTGGGGGCTTCGAAATGGTCACATGATTCCATAAAGCATTGATCCAAGTGACGTAGTCCTAAATAAGCCATGGCCTCACATTCACACAGGATATGTGTGGCTGTTTCATTCNGTCGTATATTAATCCCTCGTTGGTGTCTCCACCTTTTCGTGGTGAGGAGGTTTGAGTATGCCAAGGACCCTGAGAGCTATACCAGCGGTAGCGTAGCTACTGGCAGGGACTCCCTTGCTTGACGGGTCAAAGGGTAGGGATCAGACAAAGAGAGACACCAAAAACCAAAAACTGATGCCAGAAGCAGCGTCATCAGCAGCGACTTGAAGCACAGAGCAAATGATTATCGAGATGGTTAAAGTTTGTATTGCAACAGGCGTGACCAGAGTGGTTGAATAGCTGTTGTACTGTGATGTGGAAATCAAATGTAAAAACTACCACATTTTCACATTTCCTGGATGGCCTCTTTCCAAAAACATATGATAGCATTAAGTGTAGGAACTGTTTTGGAAGAGACTGTGGACCTGACGTCTGACAGATTACTGATGAATGAATAGCACTCACTTAAAAGAAAAAACAAGATCCCGTCAATCTGGTCCCATGAATCTAGGCTTGCTGAGATATAGGTGAGTCAAAACCTTAAAGGGCAAATTATAAGTGCTCCAGAGACACTGTTTTCCATCAAAACCTCACTGCGGGAAATGTATGAATGATTGTATGAGGGGTGGACCTTCTCGGCCCTTGCACCGCGACCTACAGTGGTTTATTGTGCTTCCCAATTTGATTATCCCCTGAGCAATCCTGCGCTTCGAATTAATTTTGTACATGGGGGTGTCGAAATAGTCACTTGGTTCCATAAAGTATTGACCCAAGTGACGTAATGTTAAATAAGACATGGCCTCAAATTGACACAGAATGTGTGTCGCTGTTTCATTTTCTTCTTAGCACCTCTCACAAATGGTAAATATAATTTACAGAAATTTTCAAAAGTGACACAGAGCGAGAAAAATATCATTGAAAATGACTCTTGATCTCGTTAAAAGTGCAACATTATGTACTTTTAGCTTACAGTTTTTATCTAAAAAAAATAAAATAGTGCTTATGAGATCACCTTTTGTTTTCTGTGTCTGTACCCCCTCTTCTCCCCACAATTATTCTTCGCGTGTTTATTTGATTCCGCTGTAAAATGTTTGCCGAGCTATTGTAGAGTGACGGACGATTCTCCTGATTCCATTATTCTAGCTTTCAGGGACTGAGTCACATTTCATTCAAAATTTGTTACACCTGGAAATTTCTATGAGGTCAGAATATTTTTACTGTAAGAATCAACTTGAATTGAAAGGAAGCAGGCGATTACTTCTTCCAAAACTTCGTGTTGAGTAATATTTAACAGAATAAATAAATTACATTTGAATTGATTTCTAATTTTTTGCAATTTTTTACGGAATTAGGCAACAAATTCCGTCACATGAAAATCTTCTTTCTTTTCTATATTCATAAAATTCCTACGAAACTTGCACCGTAACAGGGAACAAGTTAGACGAGGCAGGTAAGTTTTTTAACTAAGAGGGATTATGGAGATATCAAAGTTACTTTGGATTTTAGAAATTCCACTGTGGTATAGAGAAGACGGATATGAATTCAATGACATACTGTTTGCACAAGGTCATTCAAGGTAACAAACGAAAATTAACAAAACACTGCATTCTGTTCTTCCTTCTTCTCATTTAACGATTTTTTTTTTACTTTTATTTAAATAATTGTACTTATGATGTTCTAGTGATAACCCTCAGCAGCATTAAGCCGTTCCAATTGTTTTACGAAAGTCTTCCATGTACTTAAGATTGCAAAATAGGCGCCTGAATTCTTGCAATGAATATTCCATTCAGAATATTCCTGTTTTATGTGTGTTTCAAAACATGCTGAAAGAATATTAAATTTGATCCAGCAGTCCGTCTGGCCTTATAAGACAACTCGAGAGCCCGTGTGCAGGTTTCCATGAAACTGGACATTTGGAAATCATAATGATGCTTATTCACGAATTCAGAGCTCGGGTACAATCGAGAAAACATGACCTACAATTTATACGAAGACCTGCATTCCTTTCTATAGGAAAATTGAATCTAGCCCGGTTAAGTATTTTTCAGGGCTCTCCTGGCGGTGACCCGCCACCCCGCAACGGGGCAACGAGGAAGCTGTTACCGCTAAAGTCAGTGTAGTTCAAAGTGGGCAATGTCTGACAGGAAGGCAAGGTAAATGATTAAAATACGACTGATGAATGGACGAATTTATGTAATAATCTTAATAACAATATTTTCACGTGTATTAGTAACTAATTACGCGGGTTCGAGGTTTGATGAATGAGTTTATTTACTCCTTATACGCACCACAATTAATTACACGTAATCACAGGGCTATCACTTTTTCTACACTTTATAATTCAGTGTTATACCCAAACACACACACACACAAAAGTCCCCTCCTGGTACTACAGCTAGAACATAGGAACTATTACAGTCTCACTGAATCACGCACTCCAAATATTACACATGAATCAATTTTCCTAATCACTCCACGTCTTCATACGACGAACAATACTTAGCTATCTTCCGCCGAGAACTCAGAACTCTGAACTATGTCACATAAAAATGAAAACTGTTGTATTTGTAACTGCTGTTATTTAGCTTCCGCTTCGACAACGCACGGAAAACACAGTCCTATTGTTGTATAAGGAAATCCACATAGAAACCTGTCACGTGTGATTTCTACTTCGCCAGTCCTTGGGCGCGCTGAGTGCTGCCTAGCAACGAGCTACAAATATGCGTTCTATGGTTAAGTGTGCTTATGAAAATGATCAGATTCAGATCGACATCAGATCTCAGTATTCGGGATTGTGTGTTTGATTGGATTGAGGAGGCTGTATTGGTGTCGAGCGATTACGTGGTTCATTGCTGCTGGAGAGGAGTTGTGATCACTCACTTACTGAAGGAGTTTCTTCGAACTGTCTCGAGATATCATAGAGTTGGAGTCTGTTCATCTGCAGCATACTACCTGTAATAGTTAGAATAGTGCGCAAGAACTACACAGTGAGTGGTGTGTCTAGTACATCGGAGGTGGGGCCGTCCCGTCTGCAACGAACTATTAAGCAGGCGAAATGACGGAATCGACCTTGTGCGAAACGCGGTGGACATCAATCGTGGCTTCTTTGAGAGATACCATGAAAATTTAAGAACTAACAACCCTGAATGCCAGGAGGAAAATCGAACTGATAGGCACAGGCTTGCAAACAATAGGGCAGCTTATTCAGACACCGTCCTCCATAAATGGAAACGGCGGAGTATGGAGCAAAATCATAACAAAATCCGAGGCTGAAAGAACAGTGCTATGTAAGCATCTCGACAGTAAGGCTCTCTTTACAGCCATGCTGCTCTTGTACGCTTCCATCCACAGGGAGTTGCGAGAGTCGCTCCTGCTGGAGCAGAAAGAAGAATCAGCTGAGGAATTTCGAGTACAAAGAAGACGTAAACGAAACCCCTCAGAGGAGCAGACTAAAAACCCAAAGCCGTCACCTAGCCCAAGGGACCCCAGGATAAAATCCCGGTTTGAAGTGCCAACAAAATTTTTTGCGCCCCTCAGGACAACAGAAATTGATGTCACGGAGGAGACATCCGACAAAGAAGAGCAACCATTTTGCAGCAGGTCAAGTAGGCCTCCTCCCATTTTCCTAATCTCTGCAACTAACCTGATACAGTTGCAGAGGAATATCAAAGGCATTGTTAATGGCAGTTTTGAGTTCCGCAGCACAAGAAGTGGGACCAGAATTGTCACAAAAGAAATGGCGGACTTTTCAGCCATAAAGGAATTTCTTGAGGGCAGTAATTTGGCTTACATTTCCTACTTTCCAAAATCCCGAAAAACCCATCAAAGCTGTCATCCGTCACCTCCCCCAAAATACTCTAGCGGAAGATATCTCTGAGGGTCTGGTGAATCTGGGGTTTGACGTCATTAGCATCAAACAAATGACCAGTCGTCGGTCTCCTCCAGAAGGAACAAATACCATCTACCTTACCTTGTTCTTTGTTACACATCCTACAAGGCGTACAAGGCACAAAGCGGGCTCACACAATGCTAAAACTTCCAGCAGTTCTTCCACGTTTTGGCAAATTGCAAAGAGCCCCAACGTTGTTTGTGGTGCGAAGGTGGCCACTTACACAAGGAGTGCCCAGAAAAGGAGAACTTTGCCTCCATGCCAGTATGCTTCAACTGCCGATTGGCGGTAGGACGGAAGCTAGATCCCGTCAATTATCGGGGTTGCAAACATGCCAAAGAAGAGCAACAGAGAAGGAAGGTTCAGAGAAGGTCCAAAACTACGGGGAGGGTGTTCTCTTCAACCACTGTCACTCCACGTGTTTCCTTCGCGGCGGCACTTCGAGGCAGTACAGCAGAGCAGCATGAGCGCCCTCAGGAAAGCATGTTCCGGTGGCTCCAGCCACAAAAAAGAAGCAGATTGTACCGGCCCCTTGCACTGCAGACAGAAACAGGTCAGTCAGTTCAAGCTACTAATGTAAACGGTCAGTCTCTCGACAATATGTTGAGAGTAGTGACTGTAGTACAGCAGATTATAACAGAGTTCAGGGGTGCAGTGTCCGAGGAGGACAAAATAATGACCATAACTAAAATTGTTCTAAACTTAATGAAACAAAATGGCCACTAGAGTTCATAGGCCACTCAAAGTCATAGCATTTAAGAGCCAAAATTAAACTAACTCTCCATAAGACACTTAACAGATCATTTATGGCTTATGCTTGCCACGCTTGAGAATAAACGGCAGACATCCACCTACTGAAGTTGTAGCGCCTACAAAACAAATTTCTCAGCTCCATTCGAAATTTTCTAAGGCGCACACCAGTCCGCGATTTACACACCACTTTTAGTCTTCCCTTTATATACGATTATAAGAAAACTGTGCAGGCGACAAGCAGAAGCCATACAAAATCTTGAGAATGAACATGTTCGTGGTACAGGATAAGGCGTATCCAGGTATAGAACATATAAGAGGCTTAAACTTTGCGCAGGTGAAGCTTAAGACTATTCAATCGTCTAAGCTGCTGTTGTAGAGTAAGATACGTAAAATAGGGTTGATTTTCTTTGCAAAGCCTGTACTTACAGAGGACTCAGATATAGTGCAAAAGGAAGAATTCAATAACATGCGACACCTGCATTTGACGTAAGGCCAAACATACGAATATCCATAAGATATAATATATCTTCTCTTCAGAGAGGATATTACATAAAGACTATTGTAGCAAGGACTCGGTTGAAAAATTAATCGGATCGTGAGTCTCTATTATTTTGACGCCAAGACGAAATGATTGGCGGCAAACAGCAAGCCGTAATAAGATACTGACGACGACTTTTACAGGTCATAGTTGTAGGATATTTCCTCGACAGTGATGAAGCCAGCATGGAAACCGAAGGCTCTCCATTATTGGAAGCATTTGCCATGGAAGGAATGGTGAAGACATATTAGACTGGAAAGAATTAACCGTGCTGTTTTTGTTTTTAAAGTGTGGAGATCAGCGATGGCGCTATAATTAAGTACACTGACAAGTCCTGTTTTCACATGATCTATAAATCAAATCACCAATCTAAACAATGACAGTTGTCACTCCCACTAGTGAAGACACTGTTCTGCTGTTTTTATTTGTTATTTTGAATTACCTGGCGAAATAAAGGGTGTAGCGCCTGACTACAGGCTGGACAATGGAGAGGTCGGTTTTCGTGTCTCAGTATTGTCGTCCGTGTCGTCTATACCGGCTCTGGGGTCCACTGAACCTCCTATACAATGTGTAGTTGGAGCTATCTCCCCGTGAGTAAAGATCCCGGGACTTGGCCTACTCAGATATGGGTGATATTCATCTGATCCCTACAGCCGGTTCTGCACGTGGTTCCCATGCATTTCAAAACGACTTTCAGTTCTTTGTCGCATAGATGTGCGTATTGTGCCCGAAGTTCCTAGCTTCACTCCACTCCCCTGACAGGTATTCTGTGCTCGTTGCTGTGATACCTTTAAAGCACTGATCGACACTAATTACACAGAACACTTCCTGTGTCCCCAAACAAAATACAGTAAACTGAGATCATAGAATCGTAAAAGCCAATTCTCAGAACCTTCGCATATTACCACTCTTCTTGGAAAGTCTGGCTGTGTTGGTGTCTGACAAGGTAGATAAACGAGGTGGTGCCTATCAAGAATGATGAAAAATCTGATCGTTGTGAAGTGGAACATGTTACAAGAGTAACAGGTAAATGACTCACAAAACAAAGACGTTGCACTGCACCTGCTAGTCTTCTATGAAAGAAAAGAGGTCTTATGATTCCATCATCTAAGGCGCCCACCTGGACACTCACTAGCCCATATGTGAGAAGGAACTGATTCCTGGAAACTTGTTGCCGAGGTCCTGTTTTGCTCAATTAAATGGGTGCTATACCACTTACAGATATTAACATCATCCTCTTTAACTTCGTGTATCGTTCCATGCCCCACGACTCCCCACTTCCTTCTGCGTCCCATTCCTTCTATACCGTAGCTTCACCATCTTCTACTCCCTTGTCCTCCTACATTGTCTGGCCTCCTGAGTCCGTTCCATTGCTCTCTCTGTCTCTCCAGCGTTGCAGCAAACAGCGTTTTTCGGCCAAATACTTTTGTATTTAATTAGCTACATTGTTTGTTTCTGAGCAGCACAATCGATTGTGCCCTGATTTCGGTTTGTAAAATTACTGTAATTTCCCTTAGACTGTACCAGTATTATTATTGTTATTAATGTAACACGCATAAATAAGCAATGGGGCGATAAACATCTCGCATAAGCACACTTAACCATAGAACGCATATTTGTAGCTCGTTGCTAGGCAACACTCAGCGCGCCAATGGACTGGCAAGGCAGAAATAACACGTGACATTTTCTATGTGGATTTCCAAATGCAACAATAGGACTGTGTTCTCCGTGCGTGGTCGATGCGGAGGCTATGTAACAGCAGTTACAAATACAACAGTTTTCATTTTTATGTGACATAGATCTGAGTTCTGAGTTCTGAGTTCTCGGTAGAAGATAGCTATGGATTGTTCGTAGTGAGAAGACGTGATTAGAAAAATATGTTCATTCGTAATACTTGGAGTGCGTGATTCAGTGAGACTGTTATAGTTCCTGTGTTCTAGTTGTAGTACCAGGAGGGGACTTGTGTGTGTGTGTGTGTGTGTGTGAGTGAGTGTATAACACACAATTACAAAGTGTAGAACCCATGATAGCGCTGTGATTACGTGTAATAAATTGTGATGCATATAAAGAGTTAATAAAACCATTCATCAAACCCCGAGCAAGCGTAATTAGTTACTAATACACGTGATAATATTGTTATTGGGATTATTACATAAATTCGTCCATTCATTCATCATGATTTAATCATTTGCCTTTCCTTTCTGTCAGACATTACCCACTTTGCCCTACGTCGACTTCAAGTGGTAAGAGATTCCTCGGTGCCCCGTTGCGGGTTGGCGTGTCACTGCCGTGATGGCCCTGAAAAATACTTAACAGCGTTACATTCAATTTACCTACCGAAAGAAATTCAGGTGTTCTTGTAAACTGTAGGTTACATTTTCTCGATTGTACCCGAGCTCTGAGTTCATGAATAAGCATCATTATGATTTCCGAATGTCCAGTTTCATGGAAAACTGCACACGGTCTCTCGAGTTATCTTATAAGGACAGACGGACTGCTGGATCAAATTTAATAGGCTTTCAGCACTTTCTGAAACGCACATAAAACAGGAATATTCTGAATGAAATATTCATTGCAAGAATTCAGGCATCTATTCTGCAAACTTAATTATATCAAGACTTTCGTAAAACAGTTGAAACGGATTATTGCTGCTGAGGATTATCACTTCGAATATCATAAGTACAATTATTTAAATAAAAGTAACAACAAATCATGAAATGAGAAGAAGGAAGGAGAGAAAGCCACGTTTTGTTACTTTTCGTTTGTTACCTTGAATGACCTTGTGCAAAGAGTATGTCATTGAATTCCTATCCGTCTTCTCTACACCGCAATGGAATTTCTAAAATCCAATGTGACTTTGATATCTCCATAATCCCTCTTAGTTAAAAAACTTACCTGCCTCGTCTAACTTGTTCCCTGTTACGGTGCAAGTTTCGTAGGAATTCTTTTCTTGTAATATGGAAAAGAAAGAAGATATTCATGTGACGGTATTTGTTGCCTAATTCCGTAAAAAAATTAAAAAAGTAATAAATCAATTCAAATATAATTTATTTATTCTGTTAAATATTACTCAACATGAAGTTTTTGGATGAAGTAATCTCCTGCTTCCTTTCAATTCACGTTGAGTGTTATACCTAACAAAATTCTGACCTCATAGAAAATGCTAGGTCTAACAAATTTTGAATGAAATGTGACTCAGTTCCTGAAAGCTAGAATAATGGAATCAGGAGAATCGTCCGTCACTCTACAATAGTTCGGCAAACATTTTACAGCGGAAACAAATAAACAGGCGAAGAATAAATGTGCGGAAAAGGGGGGGGGGCACATACACAGAAAACAAAAGTGATCTCATAAGCAAAATTTTATTTTCTTTTAATAAGAACAATAAGCTAAAAGTTCAAAATATTTAACTTTTTAACGAGATCAAGAGTCATTTTCGATGATATTTTTCTCACTCTGTGTCACCTTTGAGAAGTTCTGTAAATTAGATTTACCACTTGTGAGAGGTGCTAAGAAGAGAATGAAACAGCCACACATATCCTGTGTGAATGTGAGGCCATGGCTTATTTAGGACTACGTCACTTGGATCAATGCTTTATGGAATCATGTGACCATTTCGAAGCCCCCAAGTAAAAAATTAATCCGAAGCGTTGGATTGCTCAGGGGATAATCAAATGTGGAAGCACAATAGAACACTGTAGGTCGCGGTGCAAGAGCCGAGAAGGTCCACTCGTTATACATTCATTCATTCATTCATACATTTGCCGCAGTGAGGTTTTGATGGAAAAAAATATCTCTGAAGCACTTATAATTTGCCCTTTTAGATTTTCACTTACCTACATCTAAGTAAGCATAGATTTTTTGGACTGTATCGACGGTAACATGCTTTCCTCTTTCAAATGAGTTCTATACCCTATATGAATTAATATACGACTATATATTCATTCATTCATCAGTGACTACATGGTTTCGTTGCGACCTGGCAACATATTTAGTTTCATAATACTGTACACAGTCGGAACCGCTTATGTGGAGCTGTGCTCAAAGTTCCTAGATAAAAGCGAGAGGTCCGGGTTCGATTCCCGGCGCTACCAGACTTTCTGAGAAGTAATGACATTGGAACGGGGCCCACTCTGCCTCGTGAGAATAATTGAAGAGATACTTGATTGGGAAAGTAGCGGCTCCGGTCTAGAAA